ACAACGCATTTTGTATTGTGCCTGCCACGAAATCTGCACATGGAGGTTCACAAAGTGCTGCACCTGCCACGACATCTGCACATGGAGGTTCCCAAAGTGCTGTGCCTGCCAGGAAATCTGCACATGGAGGTACACAAAGTGCTGCACCTGCCACGCAATCTGCACCTGGAGCTGGAGTTGCCTGGAGCTTGAGCTGTTGAAACCAGAGCTGGTGTATGAGTGGTATGATGAGTGGTGTGTGATCAGTGGTGTGTGATGAGTGGTGTATGATGAGTGGTGTGTGATGAGTGGTGTGTGATGAGTGGTGTATGATGAGTAGTGTATGATGAGTGGTGTGTGATGAGTGGTGTATGATGAGTGGTGTATGATGAGTGGTGGTTGAACAGCTGTTGAATGTCCGTAACACGGAAGTTTTGCACACTAAACTTCCTTTGATTATATGTATATTATTGATTTCAGATCAGATCGGGTGTTGCGAAAGCCAGCCGAAGGCCTAGGCCGAAGGTCTGTAAACTGTGTGAGTATTAGGGGGTGTGGGGGTGGGTGGTTGCCTGGTGGTCTTTTTTGGAAGGGTGAGCCCAGGTCTTGCTGGGGGAGAGCGAAGAATTTGGTGGCAGAAATTATTTGTAAGTTGTGGAAGGCTGTGGCGGCATTTTTTGGAGTTGTTCCCGAAAGCATTGCGAAGGGTTCTTCCGGAAAATCCTTTGAACACTGACACTTCGACACTTACACTTCGACGCTCACACTTACACACACACACACTGGAAGAGCGAAAGCATCCAAGTGCGAAGTATGCCAGTGTCAAAGTATGCAAGTGTAAGTATGCAAGCATGATATGCAAGCGTGAGTATGCAAGCATGCAATGACTATGCAAGCATGCAATGAGTAGGCAAGTGTGAGTATGGAAAACTAGCACGGGAGATGTCCTAATGAAAAAACATTTCCCCACTTTATAAATTCTCTCTCAAAGGCGGAGGGCGGGACGAACAGCGTCAACCGAAAGTGCAACCCTCTGCGGAGATCGTGCGTGTCGAGTGCGCGAAATGCAGGCGAGAGTGCGATTTGTCCGGTCCGCGCGCAACCCTCTGCGGAGATCGTGCGTGTCGAGTGCGCGAAATGCAGGCGAGAGTGCGATGTGCCGGGTGCCCGTGCGACCCTCTGCGGAGATCGCGCGTGTCGAGTGCGCGAAACGCAGGCGAGAGTGCGATTTGGCGGCTGCCCGCGCTACCGTCTGCGGAGATCGCGCGTGTCGAGCGCGCGAAATGCAGGCGAGAGGGGGATTTGCCGGCTGCCCGCGCAACCCTCTGCGGAGATCGTGCGTGTCGAGTGCGCGAAATGCGGGCGAGAGGCGTGGAGTATCTGGGGAGCTGGGAGATGAGCACTGGCGACTTTGTAGTACAACTGTAGTACGCGGAGTAGCTGGGGAGCTGGAAGCTCAGAACTGGTGACTTTGTAGTACAACTTTAGTACGCGGAGCAATCTGTGGAGCTGGAAGCTGAGAACTGGCGACTGCGTAGTGCAACTTTAGTACGCGGAGTAGCTGTGGAGCTGGAAGATGAGAAGTGGCGACTTGGTAATACAACTTTAGTACGCAGAGTAGCTGGGGAGTGGGAAGATGAGAACTGATGAGTGGGCAGTAGCTGAGAACTCGCGACTTTGGAGTACAACTTTATTTAGTACGAGGAGTAGCTGGGGAGCTGGAAGATGAGAACTGGCGACTTGGTAGTACAAATATAGTACGCAGAGCAGCCGAGGAGTGGGAAGATGAGAACTGGCGACTTGGCAGTGCAACTTTAGTACGCAGAGTAGCTGGGGAGTGGGAAGATGAGAA